TCCACCAATCTTGACCCCACATTTCTCCTCATAGAGCCCAGCCTACCGGGTAATCTGTTCTGCATACAGGTTGAAAAGTATGGAGATAGAACACATCCCTGGCATATGCCCTTCCCAATTTTGAACCATGCAGTGTTTCCTTGCTCTGTTCTGACTACTGCCTCCTGGTCCAAGTATAGGTTTCTCATTAGCACGATCAAGTGTTCTGGGATTCCCATTCTTCTCAGAGTCAGGCACAGTTTGTTATGATCCACACAGTCAAATGCCTTTGCATAGTGAATGAAACACAGATATACATTCCTCTGGTATTCCCTGCTTTCAGCTAAGATCCATTTAACATCAGCTACAAGATCCCTAGTGCCATGACCCCTTCTAAACCCAGACTGGACTTGTGGCTGTTCTCTGCTGATGTGCTGTCCCAGTCGTTTTTGGATAATCTTCAGTAGAATCTTGCTTGCATGTGAAATCAATGATATTGTTTTATAGTTTCCACACTCTGTTGTGTCACCCATTTTTGGGAATCAAGATATATTATTTATATTACTTTCTCAGCTTGGGAGTAAGTGGACCTTGTCTAATATAAATCCAGGCATAAATTAGCATGAAGGCAAGCCCAAAGATACAAGTTTTTAGAAGGGATTTTCCTTTGGACCAAAGCCCAAGTGGCTATAGATTAACTTCCTTGTGGAACTGGCTAGATTTTTTTCTAGTGGGCCCTTTCACTGAGAGTAAAGTTTTGAATGTTCTGCATACATGCAAGTATGTAGTCAATGCCCCCTAGCTGAGGAGCACAACTTGATCTCCTGTCTCATGTGACTGTGAAAATGTAAGCCCTTGGTCCCCAAGACAGCCAATGCCCTTTGGGAAGTCCGAGCCTCAGCCTAACGTCACTGCTCTGATTCTTAGTTTGGGGCCCCTCAGAGTTTCATTTCATTTTTTGTGGATACAACAATGCATTGGAAATTACTTTATTTGGCCCGGAATTCCTAGAAGGTTTGTAGCAATGGAGTTCTGAGATTATTTAGCCATAGGGATAGTCTCTAGCTCAAGCTGTAAAAATTATTTCCCTGGAAACCAAAACAAAACCTTTACTGCATTGGTCTTTCAACTGTGGCAGTATAAGTGACATTTATTTTCTTTTTAGTAGCTTTTAAAATAGTTTATCCTTTACAATATAACCTGATTTAATTCTATTTATAGTTTATATTTTACGTTATATTAAAAAATAGTACATATTTTTGTATTTTATCTTTTTCTTTAAAAATAAGTATGTATTCCATTTGCAATTAGACTTTTGTTTTTTAATCCTTTAGTTTTCTTTCTTTTTTTTCAAAAATTTTATTTTTATTTTTATTGTATTATTTTTACGTGTATCGTCAAATCAGATCTGACTAGTACAGGAGGAGATTGCACCCTCCTTCTTCAGCAGAGCATCTGGTGGATTTGAACTACGTACCTGTGGGATTGCAGTGTAGTTTTCTTTCTGTTTTAAAAGACACATTGGTTGATAATTATGACTTTTTAAAAAGTTGTTCTTTTTTCGAGAGCTGGTTTAAGATTTTCTTTGGACTTAGACTGATGCCCTACCAAGAAGGTTATATGAGTATTAGGCAGATGCCTGCAGATTCATTGTTTTCTTTTGCGTCATCGTTTATTGAGATTTCAGTGAAAAAGAACAATGCTTAACATTTTGGGATGCATCTGTTCCCTGGCAGGGGCACCAGCCTGTCTCCTTCTTGGCTCCCTCCCCTCCCCCCACCAAGGGTCTTAGAGACATTAAATTGTATGTAAAATTCACCACTACCTATCATTTCAATATTCACATTCAAGGCGCTTTTAAAACTTCATTTCTAACGAGTTTCCACCTCCTATTGTTTTTTAATGATTTTGAAATCCCTGGACTCCAACAGAAACACCACCATGACCCTCAAAATGGACAATTTGAACAGCAAAGAGGAGACAACATCCGCAATTCCAGTCACTTCAACTATACCCCTGAGAGCTGCATTGACTCACAGTCTCTGGGAGCAAGACAACGCGGACGAGCACTGCTGTGAGGCACCCGCAGCCAGCTCCCTAGGAGAAAACTTCTGGGGCCCCTGACACCTCGCTAAACCAGGATGGCTTTCCCGTGTCTGCAGTGCTGTTTTCCACTGTGGGCCCCGTCACCGGGAGAGGCAAGATGGCATTTATAATGAGGCACTACTACCGCACTTCCACCAGTAAAACTCTTCCTGGTGTGTCCATCATTTGTAGCAATTGTGTTGAGAGGCTTGAGGATGGGTGATGAATGATTAGTAACAGACTCCTAGTTGTTGTTGTTGGTTGTTATGTGCTATCAAGTCCCTTACAACTCATAGTGACCCTATGTACAAGAGCCCTAAATGCCTTTCTATCCTGTGCCAACCTTGCTGTCTCAAACACACCCATTCCCACCACTCCACTCACAAAATCGATCCATCTCATCGAGGGTCTTCCTCTCCTGCACTGTCCCTCCACTCTCCCAAACATGATGTCCCTCTCCAAGGACCAGTCCCTCCTTGCAACATGCCCAAAGTATGTCAGACGAAGCTTCAGAATCCTTGACTCTAGGAAACATTCTGGCTTCACCTTCTCCAGGACAAACCTGTTTGTTCTCCCAGCAGTCCATGGTATATTCAACACTCTTCTCCAGCACCACAGCTCAAAAGTATTAATTCTCTTTCTATCATCCCTATTCACTGTCCAACTCTCTGATTCATAGCTCACAATTGCGAAGACTATAGCCCAGATTAGGTGCACCTTAGTCTCCAGCCTGCCGTCATTGCACTTCAGTACTCTTGAGAGGTCCCTCACAGGTGACTTTCCCAATGCAATTCGTCTCCTGATTGGCTGCTCTTACCAAGAGTGTTGACTGTGGAACCAAGTAAACTAAAACTGTTAACTATCTCAATCTCATCACCATCCATACTGATGCTGCCAGTTGGTCCAGTGGTGAGGATCTTTGTTTTCTTGATGTTGAGCTTCAATCCATATTGAAGGCTGCAGTCCTTGACCTTCTGCAGCAAGTGCTTCAGGTCCTTCTCAGTTTCAGCAAGCAGGGCTGTGTCATCTCCATAGCACAGATTGTTGTGACTCTTCCACCAATCCTGATGCCACATTTCTCCTTGTACAGCCCAGCATCTCGGTTGAGCTGTTCTTCTGCATACAGATTGAAAAGGTATGAACACTCCTAGGGAAAACAAAATTAATCAAAACAACACCTCCACCCACACACTTCTTACTTAGTTGAAACCTCAAAACAGCCTAGTAAAATCAAGAAAGCCAGTCCAGAGGAAAGGAACTGTTCCCCCGTTACAAAAGGGTTCAGGGACCTAGGAAAACAAGCAGCAGGGCTACAAACCTAAAAATGGTGGGATCAACTAAGAGGCGTGTTTTTTATGCCATAATTGTCTCAAACAAGAAATAAAACCTTCACATCACCGCTCCCCATCTTAGTTTAGACTCTGTGAAGGCTTATGTGAGTCATACAAACTCTGGTTGATTATGAGATGTGGTGTCCTTAGTATATTGTTCAAAATGACTTGTTTTTTTTTTACTTTCACCACATGGCTGAGTGGGAACGAGAAATAGGGCGTATATAAACAACTTGTCCCCAGATCTGCTGTCAGAGACCTTTCCAGAGTACTGAAGAGCAACAATGTCAGTCTAGACACTAGTGTACCTGATCCAGGCCATGGTCTTCGCATTTACTTGCTATGCACCAGGGAGCTATGCAATGAAGAAAGATGCTAGACAAAGAAGCAGTGCTTTTGAGTTGTGCTGCTGGAGGAGAGTATTGAATATACCATGGGCTGCTAAGAGAACAAATGGGTCTGTTTTGGAGAGGGTGAAACCAAGTTACCCTCTGAAGGCATAGATTTTGAAGCTCCATCTCACATACTTTGGCCATGTTGCCAGAAGGGACTAGTCCTTGGAGAAGGACATCATACTTGGAAGGGCGGAGGATTGTGCAAGACAAGGACCACATTTGATCTTAGGATAATTGGTTTTAGCAAACGCTGGTGGCCTAGTGGCAAGAAGTTGCACTGCAATCCCAGAGGTGCACGATTCGAATCCACCAGATGCTCTGCTGGAGAAGGAGGGACAATCTCCTCCTGTACCAATCAGATCTGATTTGATGGTACACAAACACACACACACACACACACTAATGATAAAAAGATAATTGGTTTTGTATTGTGTATGTTGCTGGTGGGCACTGTTCCCCTTTGTGAAGAGGTTGTTGGTATTGTGTATGATCAAGTTGGAACTGATTCATAGCTGACCCTCCAGTGAGTTTTCAGAAGCAGTCTAATCACATGGGAGGGGATTGCCCAACTTTCTCCCATAGAGCAGCTGGTGGATTCAAACCAAGTGCCTTGTGAAGAGATTAGAATAATTAGTCTATCACTCAGTGAGGTAAAGAGTTGTGCTGCCAGCCCAAGGGCAAGCAGTTCAAATCCACTAGCTGCTTCACAAGAGAAAGATGAGCAGTCTGCTCTTGTGTGATTTACAGTGTCTGAAAACCCACTGTAGGTTGAACTATGAATTATTTCCAAGTTGATGGTTGTTGTAGTTGTTGTTATGTGCTGTCAAGTGGTAGGCGACTCATGGTGACCCTATGAACGCAAGTCCTGGACACCTGTGTAACTTCCTCCTTTCTCCAGGTTCATACATAGGGTTTCTGGAGGTAAGCTATTTACAGAAGTGGATAGCAATAATCTATTATCCAAAGGATGCCAAGGATTGCTTGCAACAACAATACAAAGACAAAGGCATGGAGAGATTGCCCCCCTAGAACATTCAGAGGGAACATGATACTGTGATATCTTGATTTTGGACTCCTGGTCACCAAACCTTGACATGAAAAAACTGATAAATTACTTGAAGAATGTACCATCAAACGGAGGACATGTGACAACCATCACAGAGAGATGGAACAAACAACCTCATCAGGACCCATGGCTATTCCCTCCCAGACCATTCCCACAGTCCTTTCCCGTTCCCTAATCCCACTGACTATCTCCTTTAAAAGCCTGGCTCAGGTGAGCTCTGGTGGCCTGGTGGCAAGAAGCTACACTGCGATCCCAGAGTTGTGTGGTTCGAATCTACCAGATGCTTTGCTGGAGAAGGAGGGACAATTTCCTCCTGTACCAGTCAGATCCGATTTGACAGCACACACACACACCTGGATCACTTCTGAGGTGTCACAAAATGGTCCCGAAGGCATCCAGGCCACCTATTTTCCATCAAATCCTTAGCCTCCAAATAAAATGCATTTAAAGTATGCAATCCTTGTCTCTACTCCTTGGAGAAGGAAATTATGTTTGGAAAGGTGGGAGGATGGTGGAGGAAAGGAACACCCTCAACTGGTGGATTGACGCAGTAACTTGTGGCAATGGGCTCACACGTGTCAGACTGTAACACTGACACAGGATAAGACAGGGTTCAGATCTCTTGTTCATAGGGTTGCTATGGGTCATACATGACTTTACAGCTACTAACCACGACTCAATTAGCTCAGAATGGCAGGCATCCAAACCCCATCTTTTTCCAGTTACAACCTGAGATGAGAGAATACCTAGTGTCGGAGTTTCTTTCTGCTCCCAGGAAAAATAAAACCAAAACAAACTTCTTTTTGCATGTTAAAAGAAAACAGAATTGGAGGTGCTAATAAAGGAGATAAATGTTGAAGAAGAGAATAATACGAAGACGTTTCATGCTTTCCCATGTGCTCCTGTTGTCCTAGTAACATTTTAATTGAGATCATCCACTCAAAAATGTCCCTGCACCACTTTACACCCACTCAACTCACCGTCCAAACTGATTCGTCCGTTAGTTCCAACTGATAGCTGACTTGTCATTGAATTTTCAAAGCTGTAAATCACAACAGGAAGAGACTGGTCGTCTTTCTCCCTCGAAGCTTCTGCTGGATTTTTTTTTTGTATCTTACAATTTTATTTTAATTTTTGAAAAGCTCATTTAATGACTCATGCATGGATAAATTTTATATATATAATATACATATAAAGGTCTATGTTTGGGGAGAGGCGATGTCTCTTTGCTCACTTTCCGTTTTAAAAGGAAGTGTCAATCCTTTTGTCTGTGATCTAACTATGTAGCTCACAACTGGCTAAACTTTGCCTCCAGGAGTTTGACA